AGCCTGAAAAGTCATAGGTGTCTAATGGAGACAGAAAGCTTAACATTCCTAAAACAAAATGCATGGTCCTCTCTCATCCAAACTCACTTTCCATTCTGTGTCTCTGTCTTGATTCATGGTAGACTCTCAAGCCCAGTTGTTATTAAAAGTCATGATATTTCTCCCACTTCCAGTGTACTGAATGGCACAAATATTGTTTGGATTTTGGATGGATCTCAGAACACTTGAGGACAGGGGCATGAGCAACCTCCACCTCCTCTGTGTCTTCTCTTGAGTCTGTCTCTCTTCTCTACCTCAATTCCATTCATGTTTCCATAACTCAAGCCTTCCTCTAATATCATTTGTAATCTCACCATCATCTCCCACAGGATTATCTTATCTTTGATGATTTAGGCCTTGAACTCTGACTTCCCCATTACCAGGGTTATCCTCCCAAATAGAGGGAAAGTGGTATTCCAGGCTTTAGTGGAGCCCTGGGCCCTTACTGACAGAACCGCTTTCCAAAGCAATCCAAACACCTCTTGCTTTTTCCTTCTACATATGCTGTGCTTGACACCCATATGGCTCAAACTCCAGATAAGTGGAATATTTGTAGTCTCTTTACTTCCTTCTTTTAGTATATTTAAGTGGTTCTTTTTATTATTATATTTGTTTATTTGTTTCTCACCTTGTTTAGTATAAAATGAGAGGTGGGAAAACAGTTCACTAATTGCAAAAACATTTTGAGGTGTTAGTTTTAAATGGTGGAAACCACTGGGAATTTACAAACCAGAGCCCCCACACCATCATTTCCCAGCTTCTTGTTGTTAGCCTGAGTAAATTCATGGCAGAGTCATGAATGTCTGCTCACTTCTATCACATCTCTTTACAACAATGAAGTCATTTCTCCACTGTAGATAAATGACAAGATCCTTCTACATTTTCTTAAAACACTGGGTCTGCATCTGCTTACCTTACTATCCATAGTCTTTCTGAAAAAAAAAAAAAAATAACTACTTTGGATTCTGCCCCAGTTTCTGGCTGCCTGACTGCCATATTCTTCCCAGACCCCTAACTGTGAAATAATTTGCTGTAGGTCCTTTTCTGCCCTTTTTCTAACTGATTTTAATTGGAACCTGGCACCAGCTCTGTAAACCTTTCCCACTGGGCTACTCCTTTGTGTTTTTTTCACAATTAATAATTCTGTTAAATCTGTGGGTTTCAGTTACTCTTATTTCAAAGATGGTAGTCTTCTACAAAAGCCATTCCTTGATTTTATTACCGATGATAAGAGCTTATTCTGTGCATCCTTCTGGGGAAATTGCTACATGCCCGTCCATCTCTGTGGTACTTCCTCCAGAAAAATACCACGTGCTTCCTTCTACCTTTTCTGTGTCCTAGAACACTGTGACCTTGTCTTCCCCTAGCCTTTAAAGTGGTGGTTTGCCTGTTGTTGTTCTCCACTAAACAGAAAATTGTTCGACAATAGCTGTCACTCTTCTCTTAAAAGAGAAAGGGAAATAACTCAAAGGGATATTTTTGAAGAGTCACCTGTATCTGGCATTACGCCATAGGGATTTCATGAGGTACAAGTAGAAGGGCAATAATCACAGAGTGTCCTTGTTGTAATTCTTGACCTAAACCATTTAGCTGGGTCTCTGATGAGGAAGCAAATGGAGTGCAAAAACATATCATCAATAAAGCTTTTCAAAGATAGAACGTGCAGACTGGAGAGAGAGAAAGGTATACAAGCAGTGGTGAAATAGAAAGGGTGATACATAGTGTGAAGGCTGACACATAGATATGGAGGAGGAAGTGGGACAGTTTAACTTGGAAAAGAGTCTAGTGTTTTATAATATTTGGGAAGTCATGTAGAAGAAATGATTGTTCTCTCAGCCTTCAGAAGGCTGAACTGGAACCAAGAAATGAAAAGTGCCAGGAAGATTCAGCAAAAGCACTGTTTTATCACAGGGATTGGCCTAAACTGGGATAGATTTCCTTGACTATCTTGAAGTTCTTTCTGAATGTTAAGCTAATATTATGCAGCAATTAGGTGATCATTTGCCTAGGATAATGTCAGGAGACCTTGTTGGGCACTTTAAACCCTAATATCCTAACCATTCCTTCTGAGACGAGGAAAACCAGGCTTAGAGATGTGATATGACTGTCACTCACCTAATGTTTGGCAAAGTGTGCCAGGCCTAGCACAATGGACTTCCCAAAACCCATATATAGACAATGCTTGTGAAAGAAAGCTCACCAAAATAGAAAGCCAGCGAGAGGCAAAAGGAACAATAGATGTCAATGAGGAGTTATTCTGAGGGAGCAGGGATGTAAAGTTGAAGAGTACAAATGAATCAATCCTGGTAGGAAAACATCCATGCCTTCATTTAACTACCCAAAATCTTTGTTAAAGAAAATTGCCCACAAATTTATGATTTCCTTGTTTTTAATTGCTGAGTAGTATTCCATTGTTTAAATGTACCACAATTTCTGTATCCATTCCTCAGTTGAGGTACATCTGGACTGTTTCCAGATTATGGCGATTATGAATAAAGCTGCTACAAACATGTTGAGCAAATGTCCTTGTTGTATACTTGAGTATATTTTGGATATATGCCTAGGAGTGGTATAGCTGGATCTTGAGGTAGCACTATTCCTAATTGTCTGAGAAAATGCCAGGTTGATTTCCAAAGTGGTTGTACAAGTTTACATTCCCACCAGCAATGGAGAAGGGTTCCCTTTTCCCCACATCCCTTGCAGGCATTTATTATCCCTTGAGTTTTTTATTTTAGTCATTCTGATGGGTATAAGGTGAAATCTCAGGACTGTTTTGATTTACATTTCCCTGATGACTAAGGAGGTTGAGTATTTCTTTAAGTGTTTCTCTACCATTCAATATTCCTTTGGTGAGAATTCTCTGCTTAGTTCTGTATCCCATTTTTAATTGGATTAAAATTGATTTGTTGCTTTTTAACTTCTTGAGTTCTTTATATATTCTGTATATTAGCCCTCTGTCAGATATAAGGTTGGTAAAGATTCTTTCCCAATCTGTAGGCTGTTGTTTTGTTCTGATGACAGGGTCCTTTGGTTTACAGAAGCTTTTCACTTTCATGAGGTCCCATTTATTGATTGTTGATCTTAGAGCCTGTGCTGTTATGAAACTTGCAGGCAAATGGTCGGAATTAGAAAAGATCATCCTGAGTGAGGTATCCCAGAAGCAGAAAGACACACATGGAATATACTCACTTATAAGTGGATATTAGATAAATAATATAGGATAAACACACTAAAATCTGTACACCTAAAGAAGCTAAGCAAGAAGGAGGACCCTGAATAAGATGATCAATCCTCATTCAGAAAGGCAAATGAGATGGACATCGGAAAAGGCAGAAAACAGGGAACAGGACAGGAGCCTACCACAGAGGGCCTCTGAAAGACTCCACCCAGTAGGGTATCAAAGCAGATGCTGAGACCACACTTTGGGCAGAGTTCGGGGAATCTTATGGGAGAAGGAGATAGAAAGACTTGGAGGGGACAAGAGCTCCACAAGGAGAGCAGCAGAACCCAAAATTCTGGTCACAGGGGTCTTTTCTGAGGCCGATATTCCAACCAAGGACCATGCATGGAGATAAGCTAGAACCCCTGCTTAGATGTAGCCCATGGCAGCTCAGTGTCCAAGTGGGAATTCCCACAAGGGGAACAGGGGCTGTCTCTGACATGAACTCAGTGGCTGGGTCTTTGATCACCTCCCCCTGAGGGGGGGAGTAGCCTTACCAGCCCACAGAGGAAGATAATACAGCTACTCCTGATAAGACCTGATAGGCTAGGGTCAGAGGGAAGGGGAGGAGGATCTCCTCTATCAGTGGACTTGGAGAAGGGCATGGGAAGAGACAAGAGAGGGATGGTAGGATAGGGAAGGGATGAGGGAAGGGGCTACAGCTGGGATACAAAGTGAATAAACTGTAATAAATAAGATAAATTTTAAAAGAAAAAAAAGAAAATTGCCCAAAGTCTAAACAAGATAATGTATCAAACATGTAGATAATCCAATCAACTTTGAATTCTTCTCTTGGACATAGCATCTTGGAATGTGAACCAAAGGAAACAGGATGAAGATACCATCTGCGATGATTAGAAAACCAGACTCTGTGCACTCATTTTCATCAGGAAAGCATCTTGTTCTCCTCTGAGCCTCTGCAACTGTCTCTCTTCCCAGCTAAACACAGAACCCTTTGCAATTATATCCTGCAGACTTATTGATTCTATTGATTGGAGAAAGATTTTACCTTTTGCCTCTCATTGAATTTGACTTGCTGATGATTTTATTCTTCCTGGCAGAGGCCAGAGCTTGTTTTATAGATGCCCTGCTTCTCTTCTAGTATGGGCTTCAAAATGGGAGCTAGCGACAGCAAAATAAACTCCCGGCACTCTTTATTTCATTTTGTCAGAATTCATTATGGAATTTTGCGCGAGAAATGGGGCAGTCAGGTTTATTTTGGAACAGGGCTCAAGGCTGTCTCCACCAAGCTTTATATGAGAGGACTAGGCACTAACCCAAAAAGAGGAATCTGGCAGCAAGCCAGTCCCATCTGATACAGTCTCCCCAGAATGTCATCTGAATATGTGAATCTGTCGGCATGTCCTTGTCTGTGGCATTACATTTGTCTCTCTTCATAACCATTTTCCCATCCAATTATAAAGCCAGTCTGCCCCAGAAATCTAGAAAACCCATGGGAACACAGCATTGCACACTCTAAAACCCTTGTGGACAGAGATAGACAAAATATTTCCAACCCAGCCAGGCTGTGCCACAAACACAAGATGAAATTTCATGGCTCCACTTTCTAAAATTAATCATGACTATGAAACTTGCTGAACTAAGAAACACCTGAATAAGAAATGAAGGATTTTTTTCAAGGGACATGACATAAATTTAGATAGCTTATTAATTTTGGAAAACTTTTTTTTTTCTCTCAGAATACAGATAACTGGGCCTAAAATTCTGGTCTGTCTTCCAGGTGAATGGCATTGATCTCCGTGGAGCATCTCATGAGCAAGCAGCTGCAGCACTGAAGGGGGCTGGGCAGACGGTGACAATCATAGCACAATATCAACCTGAAGGTCAGTCCAAACTCATGCTTTGAATGTTCCAGAATGGCTCCTTGTGCATACCCTCTGTGGATTGTCAGCGCTAATCTTGATCAAGATCAGTAATGTTTCATTAAACGTATGATAAAACTTAATAATTAATGTACCCTAAATCCCACAAAATTGTTACCCCCAATCTTTCAGGAGAACATCAGGCAGTTAGAAAAGCTCATATTAACATATGAACTCAAATACCCCAAAGCCAGCATGAGCTTTATTCCATTTATATTCTTATCTAGTCACTAGTGGATACTGTAAGTGCAATTCAGACTCAGGAAGTAAGGAGAAATCCCTTCTTTAGAAACAGATGTGTTGAACAGACCATTGTCTGTCCTTGAGGCAATATCTTAAATCTCATAAATGCTAATATGTCTTTAGATGCCCTACCCATTTTCCAACTATGCAGTTCTTTGGAACCAATAACTGTAAAAAAGAAAATCAGAAACTTGATGAGATTCTGTTGTTACACGTTGGCTGGAATATTGATGACATATGGGATTAACAAATGACAAATGAGATTAACTCTGAGTAAAATGATTCTTAGTAATACAAGTGGGATGTGAGGGTGTGTGTGTGTGTGTGTGCACGCACATGCATGTATAATGTTCCTTTGCTAATGACACAAAAAACTACACTGTGAAGTTACATTTTGTGCCATAAGAAAAAGAATATGGCTTCCCTCTTCAAGAAATGCAGGTGAACTGGCTAGGAAAGAGAGTATTCAACAACTGAGAAGAAGATTACAAGGTGTTATGAAGAAAAAGCTCCATGAGCTGGTCATAAAGAACTCCTTTGTCCTTTTCAAATGATTCCTCATTAATTTCATTTTATTATGACCTGTGGAAGGTTGAAGTTTGGGTCTTGCCTGTGGCAGCCTGTGTTTTATCATTATTGGTAGACAGCATGTTCTTCAAAAGAATAAACAAACACTTTCTTTCATGTGTGTCTTGGCATACTGGCTTTGTTTGTGCCTGACTTTAGACTCGGAATTTGCAAGCAAGTTCAACAGAATTTTAATAAATGCATTGTGCTGGCAACCTGTGTCACAGATGACCATAGAGCTGGCTAAGAAAGAATAAATGATGGTCAAAGATAAGACAACTGATGATCAGACTCTTCCTAGATCCTGCTAATAAGTCTTTGTGCTTCTTAAATATTGATGCGTTTTTTTTTCTCCTAACTAACAGCAATGAGTATTTCTAAAAGTATCTATTATAAAACAAAAGGGGGGGGGCTGTTAGAATACTTTAACAAATTCGTTCTCATTCATGGTGAGAATCGCTTCATACTATCTTCCATGTTTTCAAAGGTGTTTCCTTGCATTCTTGAACAGTCTGCCCTTCACCATCCCTCAGTTCAGAACTTGAAGTCCTTGGCTATTTTCCTATCTCTTAAAATATAATCTCAGCTAATTTTCCAGATAAATAAGATGGTTAGAGTCTTGTTAAATGAGCAGAAAGCTCCTGCTAGTGAGCAAGTGTTTAAAACAACCTTGACCTGGATGATTGCAAGCTCTAAAAGTTACACTGGAAAACCATCACCATCAACTTCTGTCAGGGTTACATCTCCGTGTGTGTTTTTGCTGGAACTTCCTACAGCTTGATTTCCTTTAAGTGTTATACTCCAGTGGGATGACGGACTAATACTTCACCAAGATGCCCATTAAAAGTGTATCTTATGAATCGCACCAACTGATGATCATAATAAAACTTGCAAATAACAAAAGTGTCTTTCAAAATGCCAATGTACAGATTGGATTCACAGGATGACATTCATGTTTTAATAGAGCCTAATTTGCCACAGCTTTGTATCAGCTGGAAATGAGTTAGTAGCAAAGGAAAGCAATCAGTTTTATTCTCTCTTTTGTAAACTTTATGGGTAGCCAAGCCGTAAGAGAACTATTGTTTAGAATGAGATTGATTGGATTTTTGTTTTGGTTGTATAATGACATTTAAATTGCAAAACAGCTTAAGGAAATAACTGACAATTTTCTTTTAAATTATCAAGTGAATTGAAGAGTATGCTATGAGATTTCATTAGAGAATTCTTATCAGGCCCTTTCATTTCTGCCAATATTGTACCCTCTGTGATAATGCTGAGATTTTATTAAATTTCTTTTAGAGTGGTCAAAAACTAGATTTCTAGGCTGAGGATGTTGATCATTAGATAAAGAGCTTGCCCCGCAAGCCTGAGATCTTCACCTTGAATCCCCAGAACCTACCTAAATCCAGGCCTGGCACTGTGCATCTGTAATTCCAGCATGTCTATACCGAGATGAGAAAGGGGCACAGCAGAATTATCAGAAGTTCATAGGCAACCCTGGTGTGCACACTTGGGAACAAGAGGTTCTGTCTCAAACAAAGCCGAGCTTGAGGTCTGACATCTGAGGTTGTCCTCTAGCCTACACAAGCACTCAAAGGCGTGTGCACACCCACACTCACACCCATGCACACATACATGCACACATACATGCGCACAGAGGGGGAAGAGGTGAAGAGAGAGAGAATAAAGTACTAGGCTTCTAGTGAATATATTTTCAGTCACTTTCAAGTTACTTAAAATTGGGGAAGCTGCTGAACGCTTTGTTCAACATTCGTATACGCTCAGAAAATTTTGTCTTCCACCTCAAGGATACCGCATGCTATTCATTTCCAAGTAACTTTTTTCACCTTGCTGAAGAGAAATAACTTTATTATACATAATAGAAACCAGTCCCCAGGGACTACGAGCAACATTTATGATATTGGCCGTATCTCTAAGAATTATGCATGCCATGCCGTAGAAAGAATAAGCCTGCAGCATGCATAGCAACAGATAGCATATTGTGGAAGTGTGGTAATGGAGTCTCCTTGAAAGTGGGTGAGACGTACATCTTAGAGAGAAGGGAAAGAGTATCTTCTGAACTGCAAGAGCATCAGTTCCATAGAAGCAAATGTTATCTTTGTGCTCTCCTCACTGATAAGTCTCCCCGGTGCTGCAGTAGCTATTTCCTCAAGAACTGCCAGACTAGTGAGTCAGAGATTTACAAGCCTCAATATTTGTGTTTCACCTCAGAGGTAATTGGTGTCCGAAGGAAATCTTCGTTTTATTTACTTGAGTTTCTCACTTTTGTTTCAAAGATAGAAAAAGAATTACTGAAAGAATGTGTGTTGCAAAATACCAACTGTTTAGTTTTTATAGTGCTTAGCACAAACTTTCAAATAATTATCGTTTTTATAATGTGCAATAAATGTCTCTGGAGTTTTGTGCTATGAAGTGAAATTGTATTTATACATAGTTCTGCTTAAAAGCAATATGTGATCCCTTTTGTATACATCATTCTGTCCACAGTCAGTCTCATTCACTGTGCAGTTCAAAGTAGTAGCATGAAACCCAATTTAAACAATCACACACAAATACCATTTCAATGTAACTGTAATATTTTTACCAGTACTTAAAATTCAATTGTGGCATATACTCACCTTAAAATTAACACGTGTTACACTGAGAATAAGAAAAATAGTAACAACAAGAGTAAGAAAATGGTGGTTTTCTTTTTCCCCTTTTCTTCTTCATTTTCTCATACATCTGATCAGTGAGGAACAATTCCCTTCAGGACCATGTGAAACTAATTCTCATTTTAAAAACAAACAAACCAAACCAAACCAAAACAAAAACAAAACACGCTTTGTCTGGTTTAGTTTGTGAGGTTGCTACATCACACGCACACACCACACGCCTCTTTTTTCCCTTGACTTCTCTAGATGTTGTCATTGCTTTCCAAACTATATTCCTAAAAAAACAAGACCCTCAGGAACCTGCACAAAAGAAATTCATTCCCCTCATCAGAGTTCTCCAGCCAACTTCCATGTCCCTACACTGTTTATCCTACTACTAGCCACAGCTTCATTCTTTTTCACTGCCCCCACCTCCAATTGCACAAAATTATCCCTTGCTTCTAAATTTAGTTCCAGATTTTCCTGCTTCCATGCCTTCACTTGGTGGGTTCCCTCTCAGAAATCCCATGTGCTCTTATTACCCAAAGGACCTTCATTTCAGCTCTACTCTGAGTCTACCTTTAATCTGTTTGGTCACATTAGTTTTTTCTTTGAACTTCCCAGGCTTGCGTTCAATTACTTGTGAACCCTGATTGTGATTTGCACATTTTCCACTCAAGTGTGGAAGAGACTTCTCCTACTCGTTTTACCTCCTGTGTTAATTCTCTAGATATGAATTTGAGTTTGCTATCTCAGTGAGTTATTGGGTGAGGCTTGTCTTAGAAGAATGATAAAAAGTCCCACTCCTACCCAAGAAGCTGTTTGCAATTGTTAACTGCTAGAAAAGGAAATCAGTTTTTGCCAATGTAATGTCAACCACATGGTAGTGTCAATCACATTTGGTGGCAGGCCCCATGCCACAGCTTGTTGGCCAACACAAGGAAACTGTTGGAGGTGTTTGCGTGCGCGTGTGGCACGTGTGTGTTTGTGTGTGTGTGCACACGTGCATTTTATTTGGTTTGAGGGGTTGTTTTGTCTTTGTTTTTATTTTCTCTTTAGAGAGAGAGAGAAAGAGCATAAAGTTGAGTAAGTAGATGGGAAGGATCTGAGAGGAGTTGGAGAAAAGGAAAGAAGATTCTCAAAATATGTTATATAAAATCATTTAAAGAAAAAGAAATATTAAATATTTCCAGTATGTTGACCAATGAATATTAATAGTAGATATTTAAGAGATACATGCTCAATAGATATGTAAAATGACCTATAACTTTGATATTAGATAAATGTTAAGTAAACCTCTAGTTTGAACATCTGGTGTTCAAAATTTTATTAAATTTTTATTTTTTATATTAATTACAGTTTATTCACTTTGTATCCCAGCTGTAGCCCTCTCTCTTCTCCCCTCCCAATGACACCCTCCCTCCTTCATCTCCTCCCATGCCCCTCCCCAAGTCCACTGATGTGGGGGTCCTCCTCCCCTTCCATCAGACCCTAGCT